ATAATAATTTGTCCAAGTTCACTAAGGTCGGAATCAAAGGCATGACCTAAGTAAGTTGAGCCGACCTATAGCTTTATCCGTAATGCTGTTTCCTAAAACCCGACAACAGTCGCGTTTTTAGGGTGTGTCGAAGTTCCTGTCGAGCCCAGTTTCTATAAATAGAAATTCTTGTCTTAAATGAAAAGTACGTAAACCTAGATATACTCTGCGAGTTAGATCGAATGTTCCTCAAGTGTTCTGGGAGGTCATTTGGCTGCTCAAAGAAGATCTTTCCGATCACTCCGACCTCTCCTTCTTCCGAGCTTGACAAATCCGAACTCAAACAAACTGTATGAATTCCTTAATACTAAAAAAAGAAAAATAGTATGAATTCGTTAAGGGAATTGGAAATTATTTCCCGCTAATCCTAAAATCTTAGCACACTCAATACTAAGAATTAGATTGGAATTATCTCAAGATTAGAATTCTTAATCATAAAGAATAATTTTTTTGTCCAACAATCAAATACTTCACAAGACTTCACAAGATAAGATGATTAAATCTACTTGATTTTTCTTGAGAATAATAATTGTAAGAGGGACGAGACTCATGACTTCCTAGGGTAGAAACACCAAAATTAATTCATTCACTGAAATATAACCTCTTTCAAATGCAATGGGCCAACTTATATACATTCGACCATCTAACCCTAACTCTGAGCATAAAATTAAAAGTGAAATTGAGCTAGGCAGGTGTACTCAGATTATAAAAAAAATGGCCAAAGATATGAGAAATAATTAAAAAAAAAAAAAGGCCAAAGGTTTTCTCCATGGGTGGACTAATCAACACGATAGGTCAGATCAAATTCACACCCTCTTTGTTGGAGAGCTATACTTGCTTTAGTAACGTTATTTTTATTAGTTTGTTTTTTTCATTTTGTAATTATTACCGATTAAATCATTAATTAAACTATCTCATTCCTTCTAAAAACCATGTCATCCATCTGGTAAGTGGTATCATCTCGTTCTCCGTTTCATATTTCACATTATAAAAAATAAAACAAAAATATGTTTGATAACTTTTTATTGTTTATTGTTTTATTTTTAATTTTCTTAGTACAACAATTGATTGGGGTATCAAAGATTTGAACTGATGAGATCTTGAATGGAGTATACCTAACTCATATTTGACTATACCTTAACTCATATTTAATAAGTTTAGATATTTAATTTAAATTAACTATGACAAAACAAACATAGCTCAATGATAATTGGTATGTACTGAGTTTGAATCCCCTCTCCAAATATTGTATTAAAAAAAATTAATTAACTATATTAAATAAAGTTTTTAATTTTAAAGTGAATTGTTGCTTAATTAGCTCATAATGGATCACCTTTAACCATTAAATGTAAGAATATGACCATTTTACTTATGAAAATGTCGACGTCGATGGAAATATCCAAAAAAGATTTTTTTTTCTTTAATGAAGATTGATGAAAATTATTTGAATATGTAAAGCAAAATTCCAAAAAAAGATTTTTTTTCCTTTAATAAAGATTGATGAAGATTATTTGAATATGTAAAATAAACTTTAATTGTAAACTTTTGACTACTTTTGAGTGTCTTTCATAATAGGATTCATTTGGAAATGAGATAATTACCGACCTAGTTTTCAAACACATTTCTAAATTCTAATTAACTCGTACATTTTTACTTTTTAACTACCTCTCTTTTCAAATTTGAATTCACATTTTTCAAACACATTTTCAAATCAATCATCAATCCAACCTTCCAATCAAATCTACACATCTCCAATTCACTCAAATTATTCTTACTTCCTTTTACCTTTTTAATTTTTACCTAATTTGAATTTATATATGTCAATATTTCATATATATTGTTCAATTGTGTAACTAAGGATTAGATTAGATTATAAATTATCAATAAAATAAATTCCAAATCTTATTAAGTATACTTTTATACCGTATTAAAATGCGAATGTTGCATTGAACATACTAAGGTTACAATCATCGAGGTTGTGAGAATTATAGATTGTAGTGACATAGTAGGAAGAAGACGAAAATAAAATAACCTTAAAAAAACGATATGTCGACAACATGGGAAAAATCGACTTTTCCTCCTGTCGAGCATGTCGGCACGTCGACATGTCGCTCGACATTTTGAACACTAGAATAAAGGAAGAAGTGAAAACATTAATACGGGGAAAACAAAAACATAAATTGGAGGGAGATGGAAAATACGGAAAAAAGAGGGAGCATTAAAAACATTAATTGGGGAGAGAAAATGGATAATACAACATCAAATTAAGGTCGTGTTTACCAACCAGGAATCGAATGGGAATCAATCGGAATAAAAATCAACCATGTTCTCCTTTGATGTTGTTTATCAAAAAAAATTTGGAATCGAAACAGAACTCCTTTCATGTTGTTTGTTGAAACTGTTTGGAATTCGAATCGAATTCAGATATATGAAAATTACTAGTATACCAATTTCTTCTAGCTAATTAAAAATACATTGTGCTAATTTTTTTAATTAAAATAATAATTTATTTTATTACTCTATTATTGATAGTAAATATTTTTTTACCATAACAATTTATTTAATATTAATATTAATAAATAATAAATAATTAAAATAAAATTACTTCCACTAAAATACTATTTTATTAGAATCATCATCATTTGATATAAGATATTATTAAATTTTATTATTATAATAATGCATTATATTTTAAAAATATAATATTAATTAATAATAACAAAATATAATTAAAATATTAAATATAAATTTATAATATTTTATAATAAAATTACATCAAAGTGTATACATTTTTACTAAAAGTAAAAGAAAAATTATTAGTAGTTTAAATGAAAAAATAAAAAATAAAACAATTATAAAAAAATATGGTTTCACTAAAGGATTGATGAAGGTGTAGGAGATGAATGAGATTGTCGTTTTGAAGGGAATGTGAATGAAAAAGGTAGGTGGATCCCACCATTTGATTCTCCTTCCTGAAATTATCTCGATTAGAATACAAGTCAAGATGCGTGTTCTTTCTTAGTACAACACGTGGAGATGGGGGACGATTGATATATGTCAATTACTACCGAGGTATACTCGCTTTGGCGAAATGTGTGTTATTTAGATCCAAGATTAAAAAATGTTGTTTATTGTATACATATTTTGATAAATCTCAATAACCTCCCAATTAACAAGATTTTTCTTTATTTGTTTAAATTAGAGATTTGATTTAAGAAAAGTTTATTCTCAATTTCAGTTTTCTCAGTATTTTTCAGGAGTAAAATTTGGTTCTAATGAAAAAAATTGTAAACTTATTGTTCTAATAAAAATATGTTTGTTCTGTTAAATTTAGGAGGATTTGAAAGGAAGAAAAAAGGTGAACATAATAATTATATGGATTCGTTGTATTACTTCTCTTTAATTTCAACCATCTAAATTAAAATAATATATATATTTTTAAATCAAACGAAAGCTTTTATTAAAACTTCAAAACACCACTACGGGTTACATTTGGAAGACCCACGCCTCGCTACAGCCCCTTTTGCCGGTGCATCTACCTGCTAATTCCATCTAGGCATAGCATGGCAAAACACACACCTTCAAACCCTTACCTAAATGTACTTCCAAACCTAAATCATATCTTAAATTATATCGAGTACCTCACATATCTCCACAATGGTATGATATTGTCCGCTTTCGACATAACCCTCACGATTTTGTTTTTAGTTTCACCTAAAAGACCTCGTACCAATGGAGATCTGATGCCTCCGTTCATTCTGCTTCATTCTTCCATGTTTTTTGTTTTGTTTATTTCATTTATAGGTCCGAAGCCCTTCTTAGAAAGCTCTTCTTAAGTAAAANAGAGAATCGCCTTCAGCAAGGTATGGCATTCAGGGTCTGAACGCGGGGAGAAATCTTTCTTCATAGATACAAGACATTCGTTGCTGATCTAAAAAAGATCTTATCCCTTTCAAACAAAGGGCGTTAGCGGACGTTTTTCATTCTTCACCCGGTCCAACGTAGCGTTTCCAAAGTCAAAGTCAACCTAACCGGTTGGTGTAGGTATACCACTTACGAGAAAGAACCCCAAGTCAGTAAAGTAGTTAACCAAACAAGTAAGTAGTTCGTCAGTCCTTCCTCCGACGCCTCCTGTTCATTCTGCTTCATTCTTTCATGTTTTTTGTTTTGTTTCTTTCGTTCATAGGTCCCAAGCCCTTCTTAGAAAGCCCTCCTTAAGTAAAAAAAAAAAAGAATGCTGCTTGATTTGAACGAACATTGTAAGAACCTTTCTAACTGACACCCCAGTCATAATGCCACCCACGTCTTTCTTTCTTTCTTTGAACAAAAACCTCATTTTTTGTCTTTTTATATTTGAGTTATAAATAAAATTAGTCACTCCTCCGTCAACTCTCTGAGATCATAACGAGAGTTTGTTCTTATCCAAGGTTCAATGTAACACAACCTGATAGAGTACACCCACAGATTATACCATGACTACACCTTCCGAGGCTCACCACTTCTTGTTCGCCACCCAAGGATTTCACTAACACAATTAGGTTTTAGACCATGGCTCTGATACCACTTGTTAAGGACAAGTGTACCCCGAGTACCCCATGTATCTCTACAATTGTATGATATTGTCCGCTTTTGCACTAACCCTCACGATTTTGCTTTTGATTCCATCCAAAAGACCTCATACAATGGACATAATTGTCATATCTTATATACCTATGGTTGGACATGGACATGTCCTCCAATTTGAAAAAAAAATGTAATTTCAAATTATATCAAACCCTTTCAAAAAAAAAAAAAGATATGGATAAAAATGTAATTCAAATTTGCGTTTTACCTATCATAAAAACTCATTAAAAAAAAGAAGAAGAAAGACCTACAATTGTAAAATGAAATAGAAATGGTAATTTTTCCAATTTTATTAGGCCGCGAACTCCGAAAACTCGCAAGAAAGGAAGCCCGGGAAACAAACGGGCCAATTACGGATTTTCATTATTTTTTTTTCACCCCACTACTCGCGAGATCGCTCGGCATTTTGTCTCCGGAACTTGCAGAAGCTTTGTTCATATTGCCGGAGTAGAGGGGCTTTTGCTCCGGCGAACGGCTGAAAATGGATGCACCGTCGCCGTGTGAGTTGAACTTGAATAAAATTGCTGCACTTATAGAGGGCTTAGCTTTGAACGTCAAACATATCGGCCAATTCGACCCTGGCCAATTCTACAGTATCTGCATTTCCCTTGCCAGGTGTTGATTTATTTATTTGTAATTTAGGTTTCCAAGATTTTTTCTTGTTCTCTTCTTGTTGATATTTGATTTGCATGTTTTTTTTGTTTTTTTGTTTTTTTTACTGAATCCTGTGTGAATTTTGTAAGTAGGGAGGATTTGCTACTGGTAATATCTGCCGTTTGCTTAAGTGGTTGCAGTCAAATTCTGTATTTTCTGTACTTTCGCACTGAAAACTCAGTGGTTGCAAACTTGAACTGCGCGTGAATATAACATTGATTGTTTAAGGAGTGTTAGAGGAAGACCATCTATTGGGAGTTGGCAAAACGAAGGTTCTTTGATGAGTCCGTCTATATTGATTCATAAAGGTCCAACATTAGTGTAAATAGTGGAAGATTTAAATTACGAGGTAATTTTTGAGGTGGTAGAAAAGAAGAGTGGTCTTCAGCAACGATCGGGAGTGGGATTTATTGTTTCAAGAGGGAAGTTTGGATGATAGAAATATGACAGTAATTCCTGTGGGTGAGGCTTTTGATGTTGGTTTTGGGCCAAATTTCAAATGATGAGATATGTTTGGGGGACTCATTTTTTATTATCAAATTCCGAATTGGTGGGTGTTAATGAAGAGACGAAAAACTCACTTTATAATATTCTTATAAGACTATTTGAAAGTATGGGGTTAATCTTACTCCAGTTTTAAGTGGAAAGAAAATGAAGAAAGCTAAAAAGAAAAAACCTTCAAAAGGTAACAATACAATTAGAAAATCTAGTTTCGGTGGTAGATTATAAAAAATGAATTTTGAGTAGGTTGTAGAAGTGTTTATTTCTTGCATGGCTTTTGAGATTTTCTCGAGGTTTTAGTGGGATCTAGAACACAGTGAGTCTTGCGGTCCAGATTTGGTGGTTTTTCTTATATTTTGTTGTCTCTAATATTTCGTTATTTCTTGAAGATTGCCCAGCAAGTATAGTGAAGACTTTGTTATGTGGTTGCAAGGGCAAAGGCAGATTTTTATTTTTATAGGCTAATGGGACCTCTGGGACAATGTTATAAATAAACCAGCTATCAATTTAAGGTAAAAAATAAAGTTGTTAACTAATACTAATTAAAACAACCATAACAATTATAAAGCAAATCGCAAACAACACCCTTAATCATCAATAATCCTCAAAAGATATAAGGTCGACCCCAACCAAGCATCAGGGCCTTTTAATTTTCACTACCCACCCTTGTTGCTTGATATTAATGCCTGCAAGTGCTCTTTTACCAAGAATAATATTCATACTATGACACTAGTTGCTGCTTTGAAATTATCACGAATGAGGATAGTGTTATCAAGTTCTTTATCATCTTAAGTATTAGATGTCCAATAAATGAATTAAATTTACCCAACTCATCAGCTTAAGCTTTTGGGTTGAGTGGTGGTTTGTTCATTCTTAAGATGGTATCAGAGCGCGTGGTCCTGTGATCGAACCCCTACGTAGTCGTTTCCTCCCCATTTTATATTGATTTCCACTTATTGGGTCTTGATGTTGTTTTCTAATGCCACAAGTGAGAGGGAGTATTAGATATCCAATAAATGAATTAATTACCCAATCCATCAGTTTAAGCTTTTGGGTTGAGTGGTGGTTTGTTCATTCTTAAGATTAAGCCTAAGAAATGGGGTATCATGAAGGTGATTTAGTTTGATCTTATTGCTGCCAATTTCAGGACCCTTGAGAAAATTAGATGTATGCAAAGAGAGGTGCATGAGGATAGAAGCCGTATGCGAGAGGGAGTTAGTTAGTTAGGGAGCAGAGAAATATTTTGTAATTGTATAGGGGGACCAGTGGGCATTGTTTAGTTATGCTCTAGTATAATGATATGACTTAGAAGTGTAGTTGTCTGTGCGGGTTATATTGTGTTGTGTATTTTTGGAGAGAGTAGACATCTCATATGTTTCTGTGATTTTCTGTTTTATCTAATATCATAGTATTAATATTGGTTCCAATTGTTCTATGAGCTTTGTACTTTTATTGTACTCTTATTCCTAAGTCAAATACCTCATTGAGGATTTATAAGTAATGGCGAGACAACTAAAATGGATCTCTCTTATTCTTTTACTTTGTGGCCTTTTTTTGTATACTTTTGTTATATACTGGTGTCACTTCATGTGTTTAAATATATAAGTTTTGTGTTAAATCTTTAATTTCCTGCAGTGCAATGCAAGGTTACGACTGTAAATAATTCTTTTTCTTTTTGATAATTGGGAGCCAGCGTTTTGCTCCCTATACCTAGGGGCACCCGTGCCCTACGACTATAAATATTTTTATATCATCAATTATGTAATTTTGTTGGTCTCTTATTTATAATTATTTGTTCTAGTGTGAATGTAATTGTTGTTCTTTTAAATTTCTTTCCATGTATGTGCTTTGGCTTCTGCTCACAACCATCTATTTATTGTCTTTCTTGACTTTACTAGATTAATTTTGATAATACAGATCTATTGACTTATCTATAGCAAACAACAAAGTTCCATCTCAAGCTCACAGTTTACCTGGTCTCTTGAAACAGGTAACGTCCTTTATTCTAGTTGTAAAGGAATTTATGATGTTCTAAATCAATTTCACAGTTTACTGCATGCCCTATTGGCTTCTCTGCATTACTTTGCTTCCACCGCTTCTTGAGTTCGAATCTCAAGGCCTAAAAAAGTCTATTTCTCCCCCAAGACACTAATTTTAAAGCCAAGTACTTCGTTGCCCATTTTCTATAACTTGTTGGTCCATTTGACCGGCAATTTAAGATGGTGTCACTATATGACTCCTGGCCAATATGAGGCTTTTTGGGTATATACTTAACATAATTTGAGTAATTTCTTGACCCTAGAATGTCCAATTTCTGTCAAGTTACTACCTGTTAAATAGCATTCCTCGTTTTTGTACAATCACTACCAAATGTCACTGGCCTAAATAGTTGACTGTGTCATCTTCAAATTATTTTGACATTCTTGTTTTGGTTCTATGCTATGCCCAAATGTCACTATCCTAAATAGTTGACTGTCATCTTCAAATTATTTGACATTCTTGTTTTGGTTCTCTGCTATGCCTTAGAGATCTTGGCAGGACGTTCAATAGGTTGGGTTGCACTAGCCTATTAGTTAACTGAAACTTTTGGATATGTGAGGTAAAGATGTTGAGAAAAAAGTTGTATTTGGGTTTGGAAGATGGGTTGTCATCCTGGTGTAGAAGTATTGATATTAGCCTAATGACGGCCCAGTATAGATATTATTGTTTCGTTTTCCAGCTGCTGTATCCAAAGTCTCTGTTTCTTTGAAAGATTCATTTTCAATTTGTTATCCCTTATTTAAACTACCTTGATTGCCACTGGTATTTGATTTTTCAGCAGGAAAAATGTTCTTCCAATTTGTACTGTTTTGGTTATCCCAAGTTGTTCTTCGAGTGTATTGCTATTTGAAGTGACTGTTATTGTTCCTCTATCATAGTAACCGTAGATATAGCTTTGTTGAGGTATCCAATAGGTGGAGTGCAAGGTATTCTTTAATATCCATTCGCAATCTGCCAATGTATCTTGCCACAAAATATTGCTCATTTTCTCCAAGATTTGTCCTGGCACCCAATCTGTGGTCCGGTGGAATTATTCGGTGCAATCTACTATCGATTGAGTTTCTTGCTTGAAATTTTGATATTGATTGTATAGAATTTGTTCTCAGTTCATGGGTAAGGATCTTTCTCGCATGAGCTTCTTCATTCTTTCCCAAGTTCGGATTGGCTTCTATCCATATCTTTGTCTACTTACCTCTAATTGATCCCACCAAGCGGATGTTCCTTCGTTTAACTCGAGAGCTACTAATTTAACTTTCTTGTTATTCATGTAGCTGAAAAAAATTTCAGCATTTTTCACCCAATCAAGAAAACTTTCAATCTCCATTTTACCATTGAAGCTAAGGAGGTCAATCTTCATTATGTAGCCACTAACATTCTGGAATTGTCGTTGGTCATTTCTAGATGGAAAACTCTCAGTTCTCGGAGCCTTCTTGGATGCGCAAGCTGTTGGTTTTGAAGAACTCTATTATTCTGTTCTATTACTTGTAATTCTTGGTCAATTCTTTCATTATTTTACTGCGGACCCAAATTTTCCAATATTTCGACTATTTCTCCCATCAATTGTTTTATATCACCCACATTTTGCTGGATTTCATTGATAGCTCCTTCAACCAACACAAGCGTTTGGTTGTGGTTCGTGGTGAGTGGGCGCGGTGGTTTTCTCCGCTTCCTTTTCAGCAAGAGAATAGTCTTCTAATGTGGGGGTGGGAGTTTCTTGCTTGCCATGCTTTGATCCCAAGAATCTGGGTGCTCTAATACGAAATATGGTGCAGTAGAGAATTTTAGAAACAAAAAATATTAGGATCAGATTCTATGGTCTAGTCCGTTTGCGCAGGATTTATGGGTTTGTTTCTTTAGATGCTTTGGGATTGGCTAGCAACACGGATTGCAAGGTGATGCTGGAGGAGGTGTTGTTCCCTCTGTTTCGAGATAGGGGTACCTGCCTGTTTCTTGGCTATAGCAATTGTTCCATCCTTGTGAGTGGGAGGCCTAGGTGTAAGATTCTTGCCTCGAGGGATCTAAGACAGGGAGATTCTCTATTCCTTTTCCTGTTCATTCTAGTTGTGGATATCCTTAGTAAACTCGTCTCTATTGGAGTGGAGAAAGGTGTTCTTTTGGGTTTTGGTGTGGGTTGAGAGAAGACTTGTCTCTCTTATCTTTAGTTTGCAGATGATATCATCTTCTTCTGTTATGGAAAGGAAAGTTTGTTTATTAACTTGAATCATTTACTTGCTTTCTTTGAATCCATATTGAGGCTTAGTGACTGGGCGGCTTTGGTGGGGTGTGAAGTTAGTGCTTTTCCGTCCTCCTATTTAGGGCTTCCGTTGGGTCAAAGCCTTAAAAGTGCGTCTTACTGCTGCCAATGCTAGAAAAGATGCAGAAGCGTCTATCCTTGTGGAAGAAAGCGTTTTTCTCCA